CTTTTTTTTTTTTTTTTTTTTTTTTCAGATTAGTAGCCTATCAATTAATCTTACTTCTTCATTTTGGAAGGAAGCTTCTAAATAGCAATCAAAAGATCTAGATCAAAAGATTAGCTTGGTTCTTCATGATATGACCCCTTTTAAGTGTTCTTAATAAACCAAAACCCTCTCCACAGATTTTGATGAATGTGAACTTATGAATGTTTTACGTCGCTGACGCCACCAGCTTTCTGGCAAAAAATGGGATTCTCGCTCCAGCGCTCCTCAGTGAAAATCTGGGAAAGTAATACCGGGAAGTCATTTTCCTTCACCATTCATCATTGTTATCTCGTGTGACATGGTTTGAGTGGTTTTTAGAGCCTTTTATGAAATAGCAGTTGGCTTACTGCTCTAGAGGGAATATAAATCCTCAGACATAGTGACTTTAAATGTCTGGCAACAAACAATTCAGCCATTTTTTTTTTTAATCTTCAAATGCATCCCTCGCTAATTGACGGCTTGCGTCGTAATTAGGACTCTGTCTGAAAGCATCAATACATCACTTCAGACTGAGATTATTGCGGCAGGTATCTTGGGCTTTCACAAACAGTCTAATTTGATTCCGACGCTATAAATAAGGTGGATCCACCGGGGCCGTTACAGAGCCTTCTTCTCATCAGGTGGGCATAAACAGTCTATCGTGATCGAAACGGGATATCACTTATCACAAAGACAAACAGCGGAGATTAAAGAACGAGACAGAAGACGCACAAGGGAGGATATGTGGGAGGGTTCTAACACAATTACACCTAAACACACAATCCTCCAGTTACCGGCAAGCTGTCCGGAGATAAGTCTAACAAAGGCATTCAGAGTTCTTCATCATTGAACCGAAGAGCCCCAGCTCCATTCATGAAGTGATGAATTGAAGAGACTTTTTGTCCAATAGTTTCCCTGGTCATGATTCTTGACGCATCCTCAGTGACTCACCAGAGAGTGATGTGGACCTGTCTATTAAAAGCAAGACCCAAACCTATTGACTTCACAGATTCGTTTGTGTGTAAATCTATACTTCATGTGTGATTCACCTTCACACACTAAAATAATTATGATGTATTTAAAATGTGACTGATTCAAAGTTAGGGGCTGAACATTTTGCATTTACATGCAAACATGTGTTTAGTAGCCTAAGTGTATGAGGCACTTTCCACGAAAACGATGTAGGCTATGGCCTAAAATAGGACTTTGATCTTTTCCTGCAAATCAGTGAAAAATTATGCTTAACCTTTAGAAAATGTTGACTGTCTAGTTCAGGAGGTCAAACTAAATATGTGAGTGTTTATTTTCTACTAATACTTTGGGGTTTCAAATTGCACATGAATATACCAGACAGAATATATAAAAAATTTATACAAAATTAGCTGGGGCTAGCTAGTTGGACGTGAAATGTTGATTTGTAGGTGATATATTTCCAATCAATCAATAAAAAAGTATTAATAATGGTTGATCTTGGTGAATGCAATCATAAAGTTTTTTTTGTAAATAAATTAACATTTTTATTCAAAAGTGACAGTAAAGACTTGAATTGTTACAATAGATAGATAGATAGATAGATATGAAATAAATGCTGTTCTTTGGAACTTTCAATTCATAAAAGGATCCTGAAAAAGTCTCACAGTTTCCAAAAATAAAAAAAATAAATTTCTGAAATATCATGTGCTCATTCAGCTTTGCCATCACAGAAGTAAATAATTTTTTTTAACAGATTTATTTTAAAATTTAATAAAATTTTACAATAGTAGGCTGTTGTATTTACTGTATATAATTGATTTTATTTAATCAATTATATACAGTAAATACAACAGCCTACTATTGTAAAAATTGTATTACATTTTAAAATAACTCTGTTAAAATTTCTTATTGCAGCCTTAGTGATCGTAGAGATAAAAAAAATCTTACCAACCAACCTTCTCTATCTATCTATCTATCTATCTGTCTGTCTGTCTGTCTGTCTGTCTCTGTCTGTCTATCTATCTATCTATCTATCTCATACATACATACATAAATACATACATACAAAAATAAAAAAACTGAACTGAACTCTTTTTGTCTAACAAGTGCTGAGGCAACACTTTTCAAAGTAAACATTTTAATTCCATTAGAAGATCCTGAGGGGCCCTGTCCTGTTATTTATAGCTGATTCCATATTCTGTTTAAACCCACATATCTCCTTCTGAAAGACCCTTGATCTATTTTGTGTGGTCTAACGATTTATGGTTCATACATCAGTGAGAGGGGGCAGGGCCAAGCTTTGTGTTTGCCAGTTTATGACTAACACCAATTTAGGAGAAATACAAAACATGAATATGAATTAGCTGACACTCAAATCAATATCACCCAGACAAATACTTTGACATGCGAAGTGGAAGATCTTACAGACAGGCTGTCTTTTAATTAATTCAGCACTTAACTTGGGTTGCCGTTCAGTGGCATTAGCATTTAAACTCTTTTGATGTTCAATAGTGGCCTCAGGTTTTATTGGTCCCAAAGTGCATGCACATGACTACAGAAAACAAAAAACAATTTTCTCCTCAGGACGTGTTATTTGTCAGGTTTCCAAATCTTCCTTCCTGACATGTCACACGGGAATCTTTCACCACCTCCACTCATTTTGCGCCTGTTGGCTTGTGATACTCAGGCATGAATGAAAAGAGACAGGTGATGTCAGTATTCTTCATCCATGAAGACATAATGGCAACAAGGCAAGTTTGGGAGCAAACTCTTAACACTTGTGTGGTCTAACGATTTATGGTTCATACATCAGTGAGAGGGGGCAGGGCCAAGCTTTGTGTTTGCCAGTTTATGACTAACACCAATTTAGGAGAAATACAAAACATGAATATGAATTAGCTGACACTCAAATCAATATCACCCAGACAAATACTTTGACATGCGAAGTGGAAGATCTTACAGACAGGCTGTCTTTTAATTAATTCAGCACTTAACTTGGGTTGCCGTTCAGTGGCATTAGCATTTAAACTCTTTTGATGTTCAATAGTGGCCTCAGGTTTTATTGGTCCCAAAGTGCATGCACATGACTACAGAAAACAAAAAACAATTTTCTCCTCAGGAAGTGTTATTTGTCAGGTTTCCAAATCTTCCTTCCTGACATGTCACACGGGAATCTT